TAATATAATATAATATAATATAATAGGATCTAATCCAATCTAATCTAATCTACTCTAATATAAGAGACTGTAATATACCATAATATACTCTAGCATACTCTATTATACTATCGCTAGACCCTAAGGGTTTGGGGGTTTTAAACCCCCAAACATGAACCAATCCTTATCGAAGCCCTGGAAGGCCATAGAGTAGGGTTTAGGGTTTAGGGTTTAGGGGGTAGCCCTTGTCGCAACCACGAAGCCCTTGAACCACACCTGAACGCCAAATAACCTAATAAAGGGGCCTTGATGGTTTGGGGGTATATTATACTATAGCTATAAAAAGGAACCTCAAAACCCTATTCTAATTATTAAGGCCCCTACATGACCTAAGGAGCCCTCCGACAGGTAGGCTTTGGAGGGTCCAGGTAGACCCTGAATCTCCTAAATCCCAAAACCCTCAAGAAGCCCCTAAGCCCTCAATCCTAAACCCTAAAGCCAAAATTCAAACTCTAAACTTCTAAAGCCCTAAACGAAAGCCTTGAGACCTCTAAGCAGCGGCTAGGCGTGGAGATCGGCGCCGACAGAGGCAGCTGCCATGGTGTCCGGGGGCTGAGCAGCATTTCAGCCTGTCGGGGGTTGAAGGGGCTTGAAGGCGTCTTGGGGGCTTAGGGTTCTGGGTTGAGGTGCTGGGGTTTCGGGATTTCCGGTTTGAGTTTTTGTTTGGCGTTGGGTCGTAGGGTGGCTCTCAGGGTTCGAGAGGCTCTGTTGCAAAGGTTTTCAGATTGAGGTCTGTGCCATGCGGTCATGGCGGCGGTTCAGGGTTGCAGCTCGGGTTGATTAAGAAGGGCGCATTTTGAGGATTTACGAGCCATTTTTGCGATTAGGGATGTGACACGCGCAGGCCTGCGGCTGCGGGAAGACCGGTGATGTAGAGCAGGGCGCCATGCAGGGCGACGGCAGCGGCTCTTTCGGACTCATCTGCAGCTCGGCCTACACATGGTCAAGGGTTTCGGATTCTAGGTTTAGGGCACTTGTCGTCTGGGTCTTCGGGTCAGGAAGACCGTCGAAAAAGAAGGGCAGAACTAGAGCGGCGGTGCTGGTTCATCTAGTCGAAATACAGCAACACAGTCATAAACCAACGCCGTCATTAGCCCTTCCTGACCCAAGAGAAATTGGTACCTGCGATAGAGTCCACGGTGTCGCGGGACAGATCGCTGCAGGGCGCGCCTCGTCCACAACTTGCATAAGAAAGAGATACTCGGTACTGGTGGCATGTTCTTCTATTTAATGATGCTTTCGTCTTGGTCTTTCTGATCCTACCACGCCTCGGAACGTTTGTGGGGAAAACATACAGACTTCTCCCGGTCCTCATGTCGAGTATGGCGGCATCGGAAGAACATTCAGCTGGGTGGTTGTCAAAACTATGGTCCCTTTTGGGTACCCTAAACAATAGGTGCCGTATTATAGTAAGGACCCAAAAAGGGACCCTAATTTTGACAACCACCCAGCTGTTGCAGCTCGCCTGTGGTGTGGCAGCCGGCAGTGCTGCGGAGAAAGCTGACATCAGGGGCGCTCCAGCGCTTCGCACAGAGTCGGCCTGTCCACCCTAAACCCTAAACTATATAAACCCTACACCCTATAACCCCTAAACCCTGAACCCTATAACCCCTAAACCCAATAACCCTAGACCCTATAACCCCTAGACCCTATAACCCCTAGACCCTAGAACCCCTAAACCCTAAACCCTATAACCCCTAAACCCTAAACCCTAAACCCCTACACCCTAAACCCTAAATCCTAAACCCCTACACCCTACACCCTAAACCCTATAATCCTAAACCCTACACACCCTAAACCCTATAACCCCTAAACCCTATAACCCCCAAACCCGTTAACCCCTAAACCCTATAACCCCTAAACCCTATAACCCCTAAACCCTAAACCCGTTAACCCCTCAACCCTGTAACCCCTCAACCCCTCAACCCCTTCACCCCTAAACCCTAAACCCTAAACCCCTAACCCCTACACCCTAAACCCTATAACCCTTAACCCTACACCCTATAACCCTAAACAAGGATTGCAGCTTCTCTTTTCTCCCAGCTGCCCTGAACTGATGCCAAGAACGATCATTTAGGGTTTAGGGTTTAGGGAATTTTGGGTTTAGGGTTTAGGGGTCTAGAGTTTAGGGTTTAGGGTTCAGGGTTTCAGGGTTTAGGGTTTAGAACCCAATGTAGGCAAAACTACTGCAAGTATTGTCATAGGTAGTATGATTATAGTCATTACAGCATGTCCGAAAGTCCCTGGACTATGCATGAAGCACGAATCTTGCAGTTGGAGCCCTGTTATGCCAATACGCCACTTAATTGTGCAGTTTTTATGGTGCCAGCATGTTGGGCAGGCTGACTCCGACAAAGACCACACTGCAAATGGCTTTGGAAGGAGATGGCAGAAGACTACTCCTATGATATGCCTCAATCAAAGACCGAAACGTCGAACCCAAACCCTTCGTGCCTCCACCCGGAAATCACCACATCCACCCCGCGATCCCCACAGAAGTCCCGAAACGACCCGGCCTGGACCTGCGAAGCGAAGGCGTCGGTTCCCAAGGCCACGGCAGGCGCAGGTCTCAGCACGGCCTGGGACCGTGGATAGCAAATGTAGGGCTTCGGATTGCGAGGGTGATGCAGGAGGAGCAGTAATAGCAGTAGCAGCAACAGGAGTAGTAGAACTAGATAGAACTAGCAGAAGAAGAAGCGCAGCAGCAGCAGCAGCAGCAGCAGCAGCATAGCAGTAACCCTAGTCGAAAAAAGTAGGCTGTGAAGTCTGCCGGGTGGCAGGAGGCTGCTCGTCAGGCTTTGGTGCATCCAGCAAACGAGGTCCTTCTGCCTCTCCGTCCTGCCAGGCAAAGAGCAGGCCGAACTAAACCTGGCGTGGATCTCTATAGACACATCCGGTATGCTGTTTATAATTACTGCCGAAGTCTCATTGCCAAATCCTAGCACGCTGCTGCGCGCTGTAGTCTCGCGGTCCCCTGTCCTTTCTATGGCTCCAGCATGTGTGAAGGTAAGGTTCGGGCACATGTCAAGGCTTCTGGAACGTAAGATTCACCAAGTAGACACAGCGTGCTTCATGTGGGTAGTTTTCTAAAATAGGGTCCCTTTTAGGGGTCCTTTTTTATAAGGGTGCCGTACTATATAGGGGACCCAAAAAGGGACCCTAATTTGGAGAACCACCCATGTTCGTATTGATGTCCCCCTGCCCCTGCAGCAAGGTCCTCTGGCACTGGAGACATCGGCGCGGCAACTGCCAAGATGATAAGATGGGGAGAAAGAAGCGGAATGGTTGCAAAAAAAAAACACAGAGCTAAACCCTATAAACCCTAAACCTTAAACCCTAAACCTGAAACCCTAAACCCTAAACCTCAAACCCTAAACGAGCCTGAAGATCGGCCCGATCGCGGCACGATCTTGAAGGAGCCACAGGCCTGCACCGCATAGGACCTCAAAGCAAGAGGCTCCGAGTCTCTTGAAGCTTGGAGCAGGGCCCTAATAATAGGGGCCTTCATACTTACCTATACTATCATGGGGGTTCCTTATTATAGTTATAGTGTAATAAAGGTAATATAGGGGCCTTAATAATTACCTATACTGTTTTGGGGGTTCCTTATTATAGTTATAGTAGATTGGAACAGTTTGTAATAGTAATATATGGGCCTTCATAATTACCTATACTGTTATGGGGAGTCCTTATTTTAACTTTTGTTTCATGGACCCCAGCACCCTATTCTAATTATACTAACCACCTACACTGTTTTGGGGGCTCCTGATTCTAATTATAGTAGAGTATACCCCAAAACCCTATTCTAAGTATGAAGGCCCCTACATTAGACCTGGGCTCCCGGCTCTTGTGGGGAAGCCAGGGCTGAGAGGGAAGGAGTTGCCTTCGACACCGGCGGATCCGTTGAGCTGGGAGCAGGAACTTGCCGGGGTATCTGGGCCGGCAGGGCGCCAGATGCCCAAAGCGCTGCCGAGGTCGCAGGGATAGGTCGGTAAGGTAGTACCGGTGTTGGGCAGAGCTGAGGTGATGGCAGGGGTCCTGGTCCCGGGAGTTGCGCCGTGGCGATGTGTGGTGGCGCTCCAGAAAATGTTGGCGCTTGGGTGCACTGCGTTGCCAAGACTCTCGGCATCCTCAGCTCCGGCTTTAGGGGACGTATATAGTTCCAGTTACCATGATAAGGAAACCCTGTTGCTTACTATAGATCCCTATTATGGCAGCCTTATAAGTAAGTTCCTCAAAAAGAGCCAAGCATCGGCTGTGCAGCCTGAAATGGGGTCAGGGCAGGCTGTGAGCTCCCTGGCCCTTGGATTTTGAGGACCGGGTCCACGGGAAATTGGGGCCCAGCTGGGGCGGACATCGGAGGGCATGGAGCCGCCGCCAAGGTCAGCCTGGTGGAGCTTTCTGCAAGGTCGTCGCAACGGTGATGTTATAGTAGTGGCAGGATCTCACTATGATGATGATGACGAAGATGAAGAAGAAGATGATTATTATCATGACGATGCTCATGGTGATGAAGACGATGATGATGATGATGATGATAATCATGATGATGACGATGATGATGGTAATGGTGGTGATAATGATGACCATGTTGATGAGGAGGAGGATGACGATGATGATGATGATGATGATAATGACCATGATGACGACGACGATGATGCTGCTGATCATGATGGTGATGATGATGGTGATGGTGATGATCAGGATGAGAATGATGAGGATGATGATAATGATGACGACGATGATGATGACTATGATGATGATGGGGCTGGTGATGGTGATGATGGTGGTGATGGTGTTCTTACGGGCAACGGCACCCTTGCACTGCTGCTGCGAGGCATCTCTCTTGGGTCATTAGCGGCCCGGGGCGGCGTAGACACAGTTGCCATAGCAGTGCCCTCATTGGAACTGCTCGCCCAGTGCGCTCAGAGTTGGGCTCAGGGTTCCGGGTCGGTGGTGGGTGCTTGGGGGCTGTGGAATGGGCATTCTGGAAGCCAGCGAGTACATGCTGCTGCATTCCCTGGGCTCTTGAGGTTCTTTGCCACATGTGGCCGCCTCATCGCTGGAGGCTGAGAAAGAACTAAGGAAGGACTGGCAAAGAGGGATAACAGGATAACATGAAATCAAGACATAGCTATGAACCAAGGATGCAGCAGTCTGCAGGCATCTCGACTACAACGCGGCTTCCGTCCACATGCTACATCGATTGAGTCTGCAACTTTTTGCAGGGTCGCGAGTTTGACACACTTGTCTCCGCACGAATGCTAGACCACCGGCCATCCTGCACCTTCACGACCTCTTGCATTGCGATCTGCCTGTCCATGTGTGCTGCTAGAACCTGCAAAAATCCCTGGTGTTCAGCTGCGAACGGTGAGGTCAGCGACAAAATCCGCATATGTGTACTCGGCGGTGTCCTTGTCGCCTCGCGACTTCCAGGTGCATCTATAAGAATCTCTTGAAACTTCTAGGGCGCCAAGCTTCAAAACTTGCAAAGGCAGTCTCGCAGCACGAAAGCGGACCCGTTGACTCCAGCACTTTGCGGACTAATCTACCGTTGCTCTATCTGGGGGTTTCCGGACCCTAATATAGCACCCTAAATAGTAGGATCCTCATTATAAGGTTAACCCTAAACCCTAAACCCTAAACCCTAAATAGTAGGATCCTTGTTATAAGGACCCCAAAATAAGGTACCCTTCTTTTCGGAAACTCCCATCTCATCTGCAGCCAGAGGATCAATTGTACCGCACGTTCGTCGGACCCGGCGGCATGTAGAGGAGGCCAAGGCCATCAATGAGCTGCTCGATGACCTTGACGTTTAGGGTTTGGGGTTTAGGGATGACCTTAACGATGCTGGCGATGATGCTAAGGAGCACAATCAATCGCATGATTCTGTTACTCATGCTTGTGCGAGGTGGGAGCCCGAAAGGGCGGAAAAGGATGAGGACGTTGGGGACGGCGATAACGATGACGGTGGTGGTGGTGACCCTGGTGGTGGTGGTGGTGGTGGTGGTGGTGGTGGTGGTGGTGGTGGTGGTGGTGGTGGTTCACCACCGTCTCAATGCCACACTGCCACCTACCACTCCTGGAGCCCGTTACGACAACTCTTGCTGCCACTGCTTGATCACTATCCCTGCCACTGTCGATTCACAGCTGAAAGCTCCGCAGTCAAAATGTGCGCTCAAGGTCAACAGGGGCTGTTCAAAAGGCGGGAAATCCTCCAAACGTCTTCCCAACAAGAAGAAACAAAAGACGTAGTGTCAGATCGACAAACTACCCCTCAAAAAAAGCCCAGCTCCTGTGATTTTGGTCCTCACATCTTCCTCCCTCGCATGGTGAAGCGCGCCGACCGCCGGCCTCCGCAGCTCCGTCCAGCCGATCCTCCTGAGGTACTCGGTTTGTATCGCCAGCCAGGATGATCGACGTGCCACCGTACTGCTCCTTGGCGCAGAGTCAGTTCTGCATACATGCTCTATATGTATGTATGTATGTATGTATGTATGTATGTAAGTATGTATGTATGTATGTATGTATGTATGTATGTATGTATGTATGTATATAGATACACATTATTTCTCTATTTATGTTATTCTAGGTTTATGTGTGTATATATATATAGACACATACTCTAGTTATATGTTATATACATACTTGTGTGGATACATATATATATATATAGCATTCTGAGATGGGGGGTATGCTTCGGGGCATGTTTCGCGGCTATGTTTTGGGGGGAAACCAACTGCACCGTAAGCCATTTCAACTAACCATTGAAGGCTCAGGGTGCTTAGTGTGTTTAGTATATAACTAAACTTCAAACCCAAACGCAATCCTAGAGCAAAACCTCGTTTTGACGGCCCGAAAGCCATAATTACAATGCATTCTACAGCTTCGAGACCCTCATTTGTGGAAACGGCCAGTACATATGTATATATACCTACATGTGCTTGTATGTAGTACTGTATTGTAAAATATAAAACGATTTCAGTAGCTCAAAGTTCCAAGTTGGAGCCCGAAAGAATTTTCGAGCCAAGGCTCCTTGCAGAACGCAACAATGGCTTCCAAGTCCTTCCTGGTTTGCCTTTTAGGGGATTCGGGTTTCGGGTTTAGGCGGTTTAGGAGTCTAGGGTTTAGGGCTTCGTTCTAGGATTGCGTGTTTAGGACTTAGGGGTTTAGGGTTCAGGATCTAGTTCTCAACGCGCTGGTCACAAGAGGAACCCAAAAATTCCTCTGAGACCTGGGTTTACAATAAGAACCTACAGCGAAAATTCTTTTTCGGTGGTCTCATCAGGTAGTAACCCTAAGCTCTAAACTCTAAACCCGGTATCTTGACCTCGTCATACAAGGAATCGAACCAAGGCCCCGACTTCGACTCCTTTGTGCCATAGCCATCGAAGGTGAGGTGCACGTTTAGGATCACGGCATTCAGCGCCGGAACCCGTACAGCGTGAACTTTGCCTCATCTCTGCCACCACGCAGAGGAAGTCTACTCTATCTCCACCTCCCTGGCCCGATAAAATCCTGCCCAAAATGTGGGTAGTTCTCTAAATTAGGGTCCCTTTTTAGGTCCCCAATATAGTACGGCACTATTATAAGAAGGACCCTAAAAGGGACCCTAATTTTGAGAACCACCCATATGTAGCCCAACTCGAAACCATCTGCGCTAAACTCTGAACGGTAAGCAGAAAATTTCGATCTCAAGCAATGCGTGCTTCCGAGGCACTCTTCATTCGCGAAAGAGGTGGAAGAGCTATGGGAAATGCTTCCCTGCTGCGATCCCGCACGACAGTAACAAACTCTCCCTCCTGGGTTTAGGGTTTAGGATTCAAGGATTCGGATTTAAGGTGTTTAGGATGCAAAGGTTTAGGATTTGGGGCGTAGGATTAAGGGTTTAGAGTTTAGGATGTAAGGTTTAGGATTTAGGGTATTTCGCTGCACTCACAGTGAGATGGGGGGACTTCTGAGCATCAGGCATACCCCATCATCTTCAGGGGCCCTGAAAACGAGGATCCTCCCCAAAAGAGTCGTTCTTTAGGGTCCCTTTTCAGCCCCCCAAATAGTACGGCACCCTTATCAAAAGGACCTGAGGAAGGGACCCTAGCTAATTAGAGAACTACCCATATAGTAATGTCATAGAAACCCTCTAGAAACCCTTATAGATCCCGACAAAGGAACCCTAAAGGGAACTCTATAATTTAAGGGCCCGAGTTGTTTCAAACTCCCAACCTGTAGAATGGCGTAGTCCTGCTCTTGCAGTGATCTGAGCATTTGTGGCAAGGCTTCGTGTCCAAACTCGTTCCGCCACACATTGGCGTTCTCCTTGTCACCCCAAGTTTCGAGAACAGGCCAGAAGTGGAGGTGGTATATAGTGCCGAAGAAATTTGGGAGTTAGCCTCAACGCTTCACAGAAAAGTAAAGTGACAGGCCAGGACACACAAAAGGGCACTGTGCAAACCCACCCGCTTGAAGATAGCCGAATAGGGATTCACACCCCGCGACTCCGAAATTCCGAGGCTTCTTGCAGTTGCACAAACCTGACCACTCAAGGCCACTTAGTATGGTTGCTGATGACATGATGTAAGACTCTGCGATAAGGCTAGCACAGACACATTTCTACAAAGTCATTGCAAAACTGACTCCCTAAGCCCTAAACCTTGATCCCCCAGGTACCGACTATATAGGGTACCAGAGCCCCTAGGGCCCTATATAGTAGGTACCTGGAGGGTTAGGGTGAACCCTAGCCGACCTGAATCAAGATCACGTCGGGCTCATGGGCCCTGGCAAACGCGTTGACGTTGTCCGCTATGCGCGCCAGCCGCTCCAAATAGGCAGCCTGGAGGGGTTGCGGGAAGGGTTTTGTTAGGTTTTAGTTTCGGGATTGTGCACGTACTCTTAACTATTCTACTTATTTTTATGATGATGCACTTATTACCCTAAAGCACTGAACATACTGAACTCACCGATAACTGTAGACCAGGAGTCGTGGCATAATGTTATGGGGAATCCAAAACGTTTGCAATGCCGATGTTCCTGTTTAAGCTTGCCTCGGCTGTGACTGGAGATCTTGTTGTCAGTGGGTGGATCTCATCAAAAACATCATCAGCATCATCATCACAATCATTATTCATTAACATCTTCGTTCGGCTGGTGGTGGTGCTACTGCTACTGCTGCTGCTGCTGCTGCTGCTGCTGCTGCTGCTGCTGCTGCTGCTGCTGCTGCTGCTGCTGCTGCTGCTGCTGCTGCTGCTGCTGTGGTAGCAGTGGTCCTCGTGAGGTACAGTAGTACAGGTGGTCAAAACTGCTGCTGCTACACAGCAGAAGGGCCGCTAGTGACCGAAGTGTGCTGCTTCTTCTATGCTGTGCCGCAGGGACGCCGTGGTCGTCCGCCTCGTCCTCGTCCTGGTGCTAGTCACCGCCCTTCGCCGAGGTCGCCGTCACGAGGTGCCCGTTGTGGTCATGCCCGTCATCCTTTCTCCTCTTGCTCCTCTTCATCCTCTTCCTCCGCCTCGCCCTCGTCCTGCTCCTGCTCCTCCTCTCGTCATGCTAGTTTCTCGTCCTCGTGCTTCGAAACATGTCCTGGCAGTCGCTGTCGAGGCTGTTGCTGCAGTCCTCGCCGTCGCCGGCAGTGATCACGACCATGCTGAGCATGATGACTGAGATGCGAGGATGATAAGGATGTGAGGATGATGTGGACGACACAACGATGGAGATGCTGATCGTTTGCGCCATCGTCATCTTCAGCACCGCAGCAGCATCAGCATCATCGTCATCATCATGGCCATCATCAGAAGCTTCATCATCATCATCATCATAATCATCATCATCACCATCATCAACATCATCATCGCTATCATTGTCATCATCATCGTCGTCATCATCAGCACCACGCTACAATCAAACCCCCGCCTCAGCATCAACCACAACGACAAATGCTTCCCATGCCTCGGACTCGGAGCGGCGATTGAACCCATCGTAGGGATACCCCCAGCGCTCGTTGAATCCGAACCTGCGCCGCGCAAGTAAACAGCAAGTGCTCGCATGGACAACCAATCAAATTTCCTAGATAGTTCACAGACCGGTGGATACACCAGTAGACAGATGGATAACAAATCAAAGTCAGAGATAAGATGATCTAAGATCAGACCCGATAAGATAAGGTATAGTAAGCTGCTTTCGCATTCGGCTTCTTGCTTCAGCACTTACCTGGTCGACTACCTCACCCAACCCACTCACTCACTCAAACACTCACTCACTTTGTGACTTGTTGGCTCACTTGCTTATTCACTTACTCACTCACCAACGTGTTTACGTACCTGCTGAGGGGCTGAAAACCTCACCTACCTACTTGCCTATGTGCTTGCATGCTTGATGACACGGATGACACTTACTGACGGACTGACAGGCTGACTGACTGGCTGCCTTACTTCATTGCTAAAGCTAAAACTTTTCCCCTTTGCCGGGCTGTTGCCATGCCTCCCCCAAGCATGTTTCTGCTTCTGCTTGGTTGATTCTACCTTCCGTGCGAGTTCCCCTTCTGTTTCCTTTACTGTAGCACCGACACACGCAGAGGTATACCCATAGGCCCATAGGCTCGCAGGTGTACTTGTATACTGGCACATACATGCATACGTTCATGCACAGATACATAGACTGGTTTACATAAACAGGCTACATCTATGGCATCTATGCGTAGTCCGTTGATTGCTACGTTCACGCCATGAGGTTCGAAGACAACATTGGCCTTCTCAATCCTCGCCGTCTGAGCGCCGGGCTTGCACAGTATGTTCCACGACACCAAAACGAGGCTGCCGCCTACACGTCAGGGACGTTGAACTTTGAACTTTGAAGACTTCTACAGGCGTTTGTAGATACGGATTGGACTGTAGGCGGTTGTGCACCACAGCTGCTTGCAGCAGGGCGTCTGGACAAGTTTTGGCTTTTGATTTCTGCAAGAGACCTGGGTTGAACCAGTTCCTGTTGCGTCTCATCCAATCGGTTCATTGCTAGTTTAGGACCAACCCTAAAACCTAAACCCTAAACCCTATGGCTGGGGCCTTCAACCCCAAGCTTAGCTCGCCTGGGTGCTCCAACCGACACAGCAGAGCATTGTGGTCAGAGTCGCTTGCCCTCTTGGGGTCCACGAGCTCTCCGATGAACTCGAAACCTCGGCGAGCCAAGGACTAAAGATTTGAGAGAGTTTTGAGGGTTTGGGCTTTGCAGGGTTTAGGTAGATTTGAGAGAGTTTTGAGGGTTTGGGCTTTGTAGGGTTTAGGTAAGGGTTCAGGGCAACATGCCAACACTGAGTCTAAAACCTAACCCTGTAGCCACGAACACTAAGCCCTAAAAACCCTAAAACACGGAACCCCAAATCAGCCTAACCCCTAAACACTGAAGCCCTGAACCCTTAGCATAAACCCTAAACCTTTAAGCCCTGAACCCTTAAATCCAAATATATGAACCCTAAACCCTAAACCCTAAACCTTTAAGCCCTGAACCTTCAAACCCAAATTAATGGCTCTACAACCTGGGCCTAAGAAAGTCCAAAAGCATGCAAACGCCGCTGAGACGCCCGGCGCGCTCGAGGGCGCGGCTCGTTTCCAACCGCTGGCTGCCATGGTATACTGTAATATACTATAATTGACATACCAGATGCTATGATTTACTAAAATATGCTATAACAATTCTATAATATACTACACTAGTGCTTTGCGTCACGAGCCGCCAGGGGTGGTGGATTTGGGATCCATCAGAGAAGCTTGAAAATGTGGAACCCTGTATAAGCAACCGATCAGGAGGACACCAAATGAGCCGTCGCGAGCGCCGCGAGAATGCGATGTGCTACTGATTCTAGATTTTCCGACGTCCTACTTCTAGACCTGCACCAGCTATGACACTCAATGGCCATGATTTTTGAAGATTCGTCGACTGGTCGCAGGACGGTCATCACAAACACACACGATGCAGATCGCAAGAACGGCCATCGTCCTGAGGATGCTTGACATACCAATCGCAAGCACTGTCATGGTCAACACTGGCATGAACCTTATCGCTGCATCACTGCGACTGTACTTGTGACGAGAATAAACAGTGTGACTATCGTCGTTGCTATTTCTGGCGATGCACAGTCATCACTCTGATCGGCAGGTCGTCGTGGTAGCAGTGGCAGCGGCAGTGGCGGTGGCAGTGGTCGTGGTAGTGTCATTAGCAGCAGTAGCAGTAACAGGAGCAGGAGTAAGAGTAGGAGTGTACGAGTGTAGGAGTGTAGCAGTGTAGGAGTGCGAGTAGGAGCAGGAGTAGGAGGAGTTGTAGGACTTGTAGGAGTAGTAGGAGTGGGAGCAGGAGCAGGAGTAGGACGAGCAGGAGTAGCCGGCGGCTGAGAGTAGAAGCAAGAGTTGCTGTTGGCTTCGTGGTGCAGGTACTCGTACTAGTACGCCCCTACCACACCTCTGCCACTGCTGCTGCTACTCCGACAAGGGCCACGGAAGAATGGTATTCACAGTTAGGCTGCAAGTATGCGAGCTGATATGTACACACCGGCGACTAGACATTTTGTGTCTATGACTCGAGCACTGGTAAACATTAGCAATTACGTTTCGGAATTTGCTTCTGCGTGTTGTCATTCATGCCACACCCTGCCGAAGAGCTGCTTTGGGCTTACCTATAGTCTCCATTGTAGTTCCGTTCTAGTCACCTTATAGGATCCGAATTATGAAGCTGGTTAAACCAAAAAAAAGGAACTACAATGGAGAAGATAGGTACCCATAGGCCCTAAAGTAGTTCCTTTTTGGGGTTCATATATATAATATATATAGAATCCTATAAGGTAACCCCAACAAGGAACTACTATGGGGCCTATGGGTAGGGTGGGAAGCAAGATCCGGAACCCTGCAATCGAGCTTTTCCTGCTGAAAGCGATCGGATAGGTTCTGCCAAGACGGTGGAAATGGTGCCTCGCTCTTCGGTGCGACTCGTATCTCAACGGATCTCCAGACTAATGTCGGGACATTAGTGATGAGAATAGGGTTTTGGGGCAGTATATTATACTAGAATCTACTAGAACTTAGAATTAGTAAAATAAGGAACCCAAAGTAGTATTGGTAATAATGAGACCCCTTATATTAATCGAATGCAACTCTGCAGGTTTCCACCCTTCACAAACAGGCTTCCAAAAGGCTTGACATGGTCCGAAGTGCGGCCTTCAGTAAACGAAGCCTGCAGTGAGGGGTGTGTCAGAGTGTCTCTGCGTCCCTGTGTCATCCTACGGCAAATGCGCCACGCTACCCCTAAATCCTAAACCCACCCTAAACCCCTTAACCCCTAACCCCTAACCCCTAAACCCTAAACCCCTAAACCCTGAAACCCTAAACCCTAAACCCAAACCCCTAAGCCTAAGCTCTAAACCCACAAACCTCTAAACCCTAAACCCTAAACCGTTCCTTCCTGGAAGCCAAGCGGCATTACCATGTCCCACTCCTCATAGCAGCCTCTCCCTGTAGGCAGCAAGAAGGAGTTTCCCGGAAAGTATATTAGGGTTTAGGGTTTAGGGCTTAGGGTTTAGGGTTTTAGGGTTTGGGGTTTAGGGTTTAGGGCTTTAGGGGTTTAGGGGTTTAGGGGTTTAGGGTTTAGGGGTTTAGGGGTTTTTGGGGTGTNNTTAGGATTTAGGGTTTAGGGTATCTTCGGACCTTGGCCAGTACCTGCAAAGCTTTGCCAACGCGAAACCGTGTACACCCCAAAACCAAGACGATGCTGGGCCTCTGCGACTTGTCCAGCAAGCTGACATCCTCCGCCTGCAGCAGAGCTGTCTGCAACGATGTTTTCGGCCCAAACCAATAGCCTTAAGAAACACAAACTGAGAAACTCCGCACCAAAGGATATGCTGTTGCACCTCCAGATTCTCCAACTCCAAAATGGCGCTCTGCTCGGCTGCCTGCTTTTGGATAATGTAGCCTTGGCAGATCGCATCAAGCTTCGTGCTCCAAATGCCAATGTCGCTCGCCATGGTTGCTGGAACTACCGGAGCCATGAACTAGTACTAGTAGTAGCCGTAGCCGTAAAAGTAGGAGTAGGTGTAGGAGTAGAAATAGGAGTAGGAGT